AACCAGGTCCAAACCAGGTCTATACTAGGTCTAAATTAGGACTAAACCAGGTCTAAATCAGGTCTAAAACTAGGTCTAAACCAGATCTAAACCAGGACTAAACCAAGATTAAACCAGGTCTAAACCAGGTCTATACTAGGTCTAAATTAGGACTAAACCAGGTCTAAACCAGGACTAAACCAAGACTAAACCAGATCTAAACCAGGTCTAAACCAGGTCTAAACCAGATCTAAAACAGGACTAAACCAAGTCTAATCCAGGTCCAAACCAGGTCTATACTAGGTCTAAAATTAAACCAGGAACTAAACAGGTCTAAAACTAGGTCTAAACCAGATCTAAACCAGGACTAAACCAGATTAAACCAGGTCTAAACCAGGTCTAACTAGGTCTAAATCTAGGACTAAACTAGGTCTAAACCAGGACTAAACAAGACTAAACAGATCTGTAAACCTGTCTCAGACTCCTCTTTCTATCAATAATATTTTTAATTTGGTTCAGTAAAGTCTGGGCTTTTTATTGTCTTTTAGTAGATAAAACATTGTATGTGAAGATTTCCTCATCTTTTCTTCTCTACAGCAAATGAAGTAATCCAAAATATTCAGATTACATTACTCACTTTAAGTAATTTAATGGATTATGTTACAAATTACATTTTGGGGTATGTAATCTGTAATCTGTGGGGGATTACATTTTAAAAGTCACCTTCCCAACACCGGGTCCGACCTATATGTACAAATTTTAAAAATGTTTCAAATTTAGTTGATGCTCAATAGTCCAGAAAATACGGTATTATTTTTTTTACCTGTTAAAAAATGACATATTTGACTCAAGGTGACCCCCTGGTACATGGAACTAAAAAGGTCTGGAATCGCTGACTTCACCAAATTCAACGATCGCAGCTTCTTTTTTTTTTATTCTAATCCAACTCCGGGGATTTAATCAGCGACGCCTGCTCATCCATCTTCTACATTCACTACCCTCCTACACTCTTTCACCCTCACAATAGGACGATCTATTCTGAAACGTCCCCACCGCCGCGACGTCCTTTCACGCCGTCGCCGAGGAACCATCCGCACCCTGCCGGCGCCGATCAGACCCGAGCGTGACGAAGTGCCGCTCCGTCTTGCCCAAGGGCACCGCACCGGGAGCGGCGAAAAGAGTCGATGCCGCAATGGGGAATTTACAGCATTTGACTTCATTTACGCGACCTTGGAACATACAGCGCGGCGGAGCTCATTATAGCGGCGGTCCGGAGGCGAGCGCTGAGAGATGGCGGTGTTTAGAAGCTGCCGGAGCCTACACGCCGGAGCCATGCCTCTTCGTAATTGGACCATTTGTACAAAGGACAGAGTTGCTTGTCTGAAAATGCCATCGACCAGCTCGGGTGTTAATCTGTTTAGCGGGGTCGCTACGCAAAATCCATCCAGATTATAAAACCGGGCGCGAGCCGAGACACACAGAAGAGAATGTTAAATTAAAAAAAATGAAAGGTCCTGGATCGCGCAAAATGGATTTTCCCGAGCTTTGAGCCGTGTTTGAATCTCGTTACCTCGTCGAAAACAAACCTGGAGTTGTGTTTTGTTTCGTTCACACGTGTTTGAGAAATCCTTCATTATTAATCTGGCTACACCTCTAAAACTTAAAGGTTGTATAGAGGATTTTTTAAGGGAAGAGAAATACAGCGACAGTCCTTGTGCATGTGACACCACCTTCCTCCTCCACAGCCTCAGTAGAAACTTCTCCCCCCGCCTCTTTACTCTAGAAATCACACTTGTTTACAGCCAGTGCGCTTTCAGAATTACTGTTGAAGTTTCCTGTCTAAAAATAATTTAGCGACCGACGCGTCTTCAGTTTTTAGACCCTACGTCCGCTTCATTCGCGCCATCGCTGGAAGGAACCTCCAAGAATCACCTCCGTTTATCTTCTTGCTCCTTTTCTCCTTCTCTTCTTCTTCTTCTTTCAGCGACCTCAAAAACGGACTTTCTTTTGCGGCGAACCGGTCGTGGATTCTCGTCCGCCGTCTCGACAAAGTTTGTGCGAATTGCGAGGAAGCGACAGTTTGAAAAAGCCTCTAAAAACCGTTGCATAAACCACGTAATCCCCGTGCGCCGATGAGTCAGTTACACTAGAAACATAAGGAGTTTGATTGACAACCTAACAGCCAATAAAAAATGAGGCAGCCTCGTTTTTTATTGGCTGATGTTTCTCTGGCCTCACTACGTCCACAGTTGATAGATTTTCATTCTTTTTTTTTTTGGTCATCATAATTACAAAGCTGCTGAGTTTCTGTAATGGTATTTTGAACTTTCAGTGAAAATTTGAAACAAAAAAAAATCCTCCATACAACCTTTAAAATGCTCTGGTCCACCTTGTGATGTCATGTAGTGGTAGTTTTCTAGCGATCCTTTCCTCAAAACAAAGCAAATTATTACACAAAATTGATTCTTGTGAGATGTTAAAATATGTTTTGTTTCGTTCACACATGTTTGAGTGATCGTGCATTATTAGGCAGGACTCAAAATGCTCTGTTCCACTTTGTGATGTCATGTAGTTGTAGTTTACAGGTTAAAAATGCATTAAAGGTTGTATGGAGGATTTTTTTTGTTTCAAATTGTCAATGATAGATTATAGAGATGCAGTAGCCTTGTAATTATGATGACCAAAAAAAAGAGAATAAAAATTCATCAACTCTGGACGTGGTGGGGCTAAACATTTGCCAATAGATAACGACACTGCCTCGTTATCTGTTGAGCTGACAGGCTGTCAATCAAACTCCCTACGTTTCTAGTGTAACTGACTTGCCTGCGCCGCCGGTACGTGGTTTACGTACGACTGTCACGCAGTCCACAGACGCAAGACGCACAGACGCTGTTTACTCCACCAACGCAACAGTTCTTAGCGGCTTTTTTTGACCTATATCTTCCTCGCAGTTCGCACAAAGTTTGTTGCGATGGCGACAAGAATCCAGGAGCAGTTCGCCGCAAAAGAAAGTCCGTTTTTGAGGTCGCTGAAAGAAGAAGACAAGGGGAAAAGCAGCGAAGCCAAACTAAGGTGATTCTTGAAGATTCATTCCAGCGATGGCGCGACTGAAGCAGACGCAGGGTCTAAAGACTGACGCACTGGTCCACAAATTACTCCTGGACAGGAAACTTCTGCTTATTATGAAAACGTACTTTATTTCCAAGAGCTAGACAAACGTTTTTCAGGACACGAAAGCGATATCCTATGTCTGAAAACGTAATTTTCAAGGCAAAGAAAGAGTCCGCTTGCTGCTGCGTGTTGTAGCTAGTTCATTCGCACTGAATCTCCGCGCAACCTTCTCTGCACCCCTTTCCTGCTCCTGTCCCCGCTGCCCGATCCGCTCTTCCCCCTGCTCCTCACTTCTCCGGGCACGGAATCTCCGCGCACCGCTCCCCTCTCCTCTCTCCTCTCCTCTCTCCCTGCTCCGCTCTTCTCCCTGCTCCTCACTTCTCGTCCGCGAACGAAATGTCCGCACACCCCCTCCCCCCGCTCCTCACTTCTCCGTCTTGCCTAACCAACACTGTAGTTAGTTGTTTACAAGTCATGTGCAGCACCGGCTGTAAACAAACCTGTTTCTGGCGTAAGGAGGAGGAGGGAGGAGGCGTTTCTACGTAGGAGCTGTAGGGGAGGGGGGGTGGTTTCACGCATGCGCAACATTTGAAAAAGGACAAACAGTCGCTGGATTTCTCGTTCCTTGGAAAATCCTCTATACAACCTTTAAGTCATGTTTTGTGGTGGAGGATCCGTAAAATGCTTTTCTTTATGGAAATATTATTGCTTTGTCTGGAATGTTTCACAGTTTGGCATTAAACATTTCTAACGTCATGGAGACCAGAATGATGACAATTTGTGTGTATTTACATTCCACCAGTACATGTGCAACTACATGAAGGTTTAGCTCTTTAATATTCACAAAGGAACTCGTCCGTGTTTGGGGTGACAGTGTTTCGATTTAGGACTGCTGCTTTGATAACAATTGTCCCCCGCCTTCACTAGGTCCCTCCAAACCACGTGAAACCTCGCAAAACTACGGTCATCGCGCCCCTTTCCTCCCTTTCCCCTTTCGCCGGCAAAGAACCTCACCCCCCGTCCCCAGTAAAAGCGTATTTTCAGTCACGGGGACGTTGTACCCGCAGCAGACAGTGTGGACAAGTTTGTTTTTTCTGGCCAAAAATCTGAAGACTGAGTAAAATTTCATGCTGGAACTGTTACTGCTGCACTTTACTTTTTGAAAAATTGTGTTTACTGTTCACAAGGAATTAATTTTTTATAATATTTCATACAGTTGTTGCTTATTTGAGAATATTTTATTTAACTTATTAGTGTTACCAAGCAGCACTTTGCATTTATTTCATTTTCCTGCTTGTATAATGTTAAAACAAATTGTTGTTTTAATAAAAACACAAATGAACAACAAGCAAATGGTTTTTGTACCGAAAATGAACTGAACCGTGACCTCAAAACCGAAGTACGTATCGAATCAATCATTTTTGTACCATTACACCCCTAACCTGTAACTGAATAAATGTAAAGTAGAGCTGTTTAAAGTCATAACGTGGAACATTCCAGGCAGAACAATGAAATATATACAGAAACAAGCAGCACATTTAACAGCTCCTTTTACCTATAGTTCAGTAGAGATTGGCAATTCCAGAAATGAAATCATCCAAATGATTTTTAGCGAAGGTTTATGGAGTTTAAAAAGACAATGAAGCACTTCCTGTATTGCCACATGACATCACAAAGTGGAACAGGCTGTTTTCAGTTTGAACACAACCTAAATATGCAGGTTTTGTGTGTTAAACATGTCTAAATGAAACAAAACACAACACCACGAAGGTTTTTGATAGGAAAACAGCATTATAACATAGATCAGAAAATAGCGTTGTTCAGGCCCTTTCAGTTGTTCCCAGAGGAGTATTTCTGTATAATTTAAACTTTCGACAGGTACTGTATATCAGAGTAAAAGTACACGTTACCTTTCTGCGGTCCTTCTTCTCGTCCTTCTTGGTGAAGACAGTGTGGACCCACCAGATCTTGGTGAACATGCTCCCGTAGGCCAGACTGAAGCCCAGGCCCAGCAACCACAACCGGAACTGCCACAGAACACAGAGAGCAGAGGTTAGAACAAGAGACTTTAAAGAACCCAGAAAGACAACGAACTTTAACGAGAGACACGGAGACTTTAAAGAACCCAGAAAGACAACGAACTTTAACGAGAGACACGAGACTTTAAAGAACCCAGAGAGAAGATGAACTTTAAGGAGAGACACGAGACTTTAAGGAACCCAGAGAGAAGACGAACTTTAAGGAGAGACAAGCGAACTTTGAAGAGAGACACAGAACTTTAAAGAACAGAGAGAAGACGAAGAGAGAGAACTTTAAGGAGAGACAACGAACTTTAAAGAGAGACACGAGACTTTAAGGAACCCAGAGAGAAGACGAACTTTAAGGAGAGACAACGAACTTTGAAGAGAGACACAGAACTTTAAAGAACCCAGAGAGACGACAAACTTTAATGAGAGACACGAGACTTTAAGGAACCCAGAGAGAAGACGAACTTTAAGGAGAGACAACGAACTTTAAAGAGAGACAGAACTTTAAAGAACCCAGAGAGATAACAAACTTTAAAGAGAGACACGAGACTTTAAGGAACCCAGAGAGAAGACGAACTTTAAGAGAGAGACTTTGGAACAGACAGAGACTTTTAAGGAACCCAGAGAGAACGACAAAACTTTGAAAGAGAGACACGAGAACTTTAAAGGAACCCAGAGAGAAGACGAACTTTAAGGAGAGACAACGAACTTTGAAAGAGAGAACAGAACTTTAAAGAGAACCCAGAGAGATAAACTTTAAAGAGAGACATGAACTTTAAAGAGAGACACGAGACTTTAAGGAACCCAGAGAGAAGACGAACTTTAAGGAGAGACAACGAACTTTGAAGAGAGACACAGAACTTTGAAGAGAGAACGAAAGAGAGACTTTCAGAGAGAACAAACTTTAAGAAAGAGAGACACGAGACTTTAAGGAACCCAGAGAAGAGAACTTTGAACTTTAAGGAGAGACACGAACTTTAACGAACCAGAGACACAGAGAAGAGAGAACTTTAAGAGACGACCAGAGAGAAGACGAACTTTAAGGAGAGACAACGAACTTTGAAGAGAGACACAGAACTTTAAAGAACCCAGAGAGACGACAAACTTTAAAGAGAGAGAGAGACACTTTAAGAGAGACGAACTTTAAGGAACCAGAAGAAGAGAAGAGAGATAACGAACTTTAAAGAGAGAGACGAACTTTAGAGAACGACAAGACTTTTTAAAGAGAGACACGAGACTTTAAGGAACCCAGAGAGAAGACGAACTTTAAGGAGAGACAACGAACTTTGAAGAGAGACAGAACTTTAAAGAACCCAGAGAGATGATGAACCTTAATGAGAGACACGAGACTTTAAAGAACCCATATTACACTATTGTCTGATCTGTGTTATAATGTTGTTTTCTCATCACAAACAGAGTTGTGTTGTGTTTCAATCATGCATGTTTAACACACAAACCCTATATTTAGGCAGAGTTCTTCTCTCAAACAGAAAACACTCTGCTCCACCTTGTGATGTCATGCGGTAATACAGGAAGTTCCTCACTGTGTTTTTAAACTCCACACACCTTCACTAGAATTATTTGAATCATTTCAGTCCTGGAATTGCCAATTTCTACTAAAGAAAAGGTAAAAGGAGCTGTTCGCTTGAAAACTACCACTTCATGACATCACAAGGTGGATCAGAGCATTTTGAGCTTTGGAGATGTAAACAGACTAATAATAAAGAGTTACTCAAACATCTGTGAATGAAACAAAACACAACTGCAGGTCTGTTTTTGAGGAGGGAATGACATTATTACATGTCTCAAAGCTCAAAGAGTCAATTTTGTGTAAAGATGAATTGCGTAATTTTTACTACCAAAGGGAATGCTATCTTGGGATGTTATAGATAACTAGGAATTTAAATAATATGCCACTAAACTACACCAAACCAAAGTACAGGGTAGTTATAATATAATATATAATAATAGTATTAAAGGTTGTATGGAGGATTTTTTTTTGTTTCAAGTTGTCAATGATAGATTATAGAGGTGCAGTAGCCTTGTAATTATGATGACCAAAAAAAAGAGAATAAAAATTCATCAACTCTGGACGTGGTGGGGCTAAACATTTGCCAATAGATAACGACACTGCCTCGTTATCTGTGAGCTGACAGGCTGTCAATCAAACTCCCTACGTTTCTAGCGTAACTGACTTGCCTGCGCCGCCGGTACGTGGTTTACGTACGACTGTCACGCAGTCCACAGACGCAAGACGCACAGACGCTGTTTACTCCACCAACGCAACAGTTCTTAGCGGCTTTTTTTAGACCTATATCTTCCTCGCAGTTCGCACAAAGTTTGTTGCAATGGCGACAAGAATCCAGGAGCAGTTCGCCGCAAAAGAAAGTCCGTTTTTGAGGTCGCTGAAAGAAGAAGACAAGGGGAAAAGCAGCGAAGCCAAACTAAGGTGATTCTTGAAGATTCATTCCAGCGATGGCGCGACTGAAGCAGACGCAGGGTCTAAAGACTGACGCACTGGTCCACAAATTACTCCTGGACAGGAAACTTCTGCTTATTATGAAAACGTACTTTATTTCCAAGAGCGAGACAAACGTTTTTCAGGACACGAAAGCGATATCCTATGTCTGAAAACGTAATTTTCAAGGCAAAGAAAGAGTCCGCTTGCTGCTGCGTGTTGTAGTTAGTTCATTCGCACTGAATCTCCGCGCAACCTTCTCTGCACCCCTTTCCTGCTCCTGCTCCCCGCTGCTCCCGATCCACTCTTCCCCTGCTCCTCACTTCTCCGTCTTGTCTAACCAACACTGTAGTTAGTTGTTTACAAGTCATGTGCAGCACCGGCTGTAAACAAACCTGTTTCTGGCGTAAGTAAAGAGGAGGAGGGAGGAGGCGTTTCTACGTAGGAGCTGTAGGGGAGGGGAGGTGGTTTCACGCATGCGCAACATTTGAAAAAGGACAAACAGTCGCTGGATTTCTCGTTCCTTGGAAAATCCTCTATACAACCTTTAATATAATATAAAATATTTCCTATCAAGACCTACCTAGAGAAACATGAAACTACAATGAACCCAGAACAGAACTGAACGATTTGGGAAAAAAATCAAATTAAAATTTTTCTGACCAGCATTTCAATTATCATATTTGCAGTTTATATTTTAATAAAAGGATTCTGTTCAGAAACATGGAGCCACAATCATCCAGCATCGCAAGACGTCGAGCTGAAGCGTTTGGGAAAAAATATGTCACAGTGATATTTCTGACAAGCCCTGCAATTAAAATTACATTTGCAATTTGTGTTTTAATAATGTTATTCTGCTGAAAGGTCACAGAGACGTGGAAGCATAATGAACCCAGATTACAAACACGAAGGGCTGAGAAATGTTGGGAAAAATAAATTAAATAAATAAATAAAGACTGCGAATTATGTTTGGAATTTTTCCCATTTCAAAATTGTCAGGATGAAACTGGAGATTTTTTTGTTTGAGGAGGAAATTGCAGCGTTTGTGATTTTCTAATTGCGTCCATTTAAATTGCGTTTTTTTGATTTTTGATTAATTTTACTGCCCAATGAGGAAACATAACGACCCTCACTCATACATCACAGTGAAAACAGACGGCTTCTCTCTCTCTGTCTCTCTCTCTGTCTCTGTCTCTCTCTCTGTCTCTCTCTCTCTGTCTCTCTCTCTCTGTCTCTCTCTCTCTGTCTCTCTCTCTGTCTCTCTCTCTCTCTCTCTCTGTCTCTCTCTCTGTCTCTCTCTCTGTCTCTCTCTCTGTCTCTCTCTCTGTCTCTCGCTGTTTCTTTCTCTTTATCTGTCTTATCTCTCTCTCTCTCACTCTCCTTTGTGTGCATGTCTCTTTCTCTCTCTTTTTTTGCTCTCTCTGTCCGTTTTTCTCTCTGTGTATCTGTATGTTTCTCTCTCTCTCTCTCTCTCTGCCTCTCTCTTTTGTCTTTCTCTGTGTCTGTTTCTCTCTATCTGTCTATCTGCACGTCTCTTTGTCACTCTCTTTCTCCCTCTCAGTTTATGTGGGCATCTCCTCTCTCTCTGTCCCCCTCTCTCTGTCTCTCTTTCTCTCCCTCTGTGTGTGTGTCTCTCTCTAAGTCTCTCTCTCTCTCTCTGTGTGTGTGTGTGTGTCTCTCTATGTTCCTGTGTGTTTGTCTCGCTCTGTCTCTCTCTTCTGTTCTCTCTAGCTGCGTGTCTCTCTCTGTCTTTTTTTATCTCTCTGTTTGTGTGGGTGTCTCTCTCTGTCTCTCTCCTCTGGATTCTCTCTCTCTCTCTCTCTGCCTCTCTTCTGTCTCTTTATCTACGTGTCTCTCTCTGTCTTTGTCTCTTTCTCTCTCAGTTTGTGTGGGCGTCTTCTCTCTCTCTCTCTCTCTCTTTGTCTGCCTGTCCCCCTCTCTCTGTCTCTCTCTCTCTCTCTCTCTCTGTGTGTGTCACTCTCTGTGTCTCTCTCTTTCTCTCTCTCTGTCTCCCTCTCTCTGTCTGTATGTTTATCTCTCTCTCTGCCTTGCTCTTCTCTCTCTCTCTGTATGTCTCTCTTTATCTCTTTCTTATTGTGGTGTGTCTCTTTCTCTTTCTTGGTCTATTTAGTATCTTTGGGGTCACCTTCAAACGCTCTCTCTGTCTCTCTCTCACTCTTTCTCTCACTCTCACACTCTTCTTTCTCTCTATCTCACTCTTCTTTTTCTCACTCTCTCTCTCACACTCTTTCTCGCTTTTCTCTCTCTCTCTCTATCTCACTCTTCTCTCTTTCTCTCTCTATCTCACTCTTCTCTCTTTCTCTCTCTATCTCACTCTTCTCTCTCTCTCTCTCTATCTCACTCTTCTCTCTCTTCTCTCTCTCTCTCTCTCTGTCTCTCTCACTCTTCTCTCTCTCTATCTCACTCTTCTTTTTCTCACTCTCTCTCTCACACTCTTTCTCGCTTTTTTCTCTCTCTCTATCTCACTCTTCTCTCTTTCTCTCTCTATCTCACTCTTCTCTCTCTTCTCTCTTTCTCTCTC